CCTCATCGGAGAAAAGACAGGTCCCAGCACCTTCAGGCTCGCCACCATGGAGGGCGACCCCGTCTCCAAAACTTGGAACGGAATGCATCTAAGGAAGTATTATTCAGAAGCGGTCTAAAGCCCCTCACATGAAGGTTAGGACATTTTAGTGGTGCGGGAAGTCTACCCCCACTCGTAATCATGTAACAGTCGCCACTGGGTGACTACTTTTGCTCACATCTAGTTAGTGGTCAAGGAGCACTCCTTCCGCTTGTAACAGTGTATTGGTCGCTGTCAAGCGACCGCCTTTTGCCCAAAGTAATACACTTGTATTTTTCTCGACGAATCTAGCAATAGACGCCATCCGGTGAATGCTTGAGCAGCTCACGCAAAGGGGCAACACATGGGCCCTAAATATATATCTTTCCCTCCCCAAGTGAGCGACCCGTCGCCATACATAGGCAAGTACTTATCAAAACTCTCAAAAAGCCAGTGTCCACTAAACACGAGAAGGAAAGCCAACAACTTTCTTCAAAAGGAACCGCTTTCCTTGGACACAAGTACACAACACGCTCCGAGCCGCCTTCTCCCAGAGCGACCCTTAAAGGGGAAAGGCTACTACGCCCACGTCCCACTAAATATAACACAAGTCAGAAAAGGGTATCACATAACGCCACCCCAACGCGGTCCAACAAGATATGTTTTTCAGCAAGGAAAACATAAACCCGCCATATGCGGTCAAAATAATATGTTCACCCAACGAAAAAGGAAAATGCCGTGCAAAAGATTGTTTTGAGAAAGAAAGAACTAAGGGAAAATCAAATTCCCGGTGATCCCCCGCTCGCGGCATCACCACCCTCCGCGGCTCCTTCCTCATCAACCGCTTCCTCACCTTCTTCTTCCTCCTCCTCATCATCCGCTTCGGAGTTCACATCCGCATCGGTCCAACCGCCAACCGCATCCCAAACCAAGTTGGCGTCCCAAGCCACGTCAGGAGCCTCCTGGCGGAATAGGTGGCGGATGGCGGCTACGACATCGCCCACAATCTTCTGGTACTTCGCTTTGTCCAAGGCTTGGAACTCAGCAGATGCCACGTAGGCGGGACCCGCCTCAGCACGTACGGCGGCCACCTCTGCCTCGCGACCCTCCAGAAGGGCGGCCTTCTCCAGCTTGAGGGCAGCAACCTCTTTGCTAAGAGATTCTTGCTCCTCCAGCAAAGTCTTCTCGATCTCCTTGGATTGCTGGAGTTTTGCTAAAAGCCCATCCCGCTCCTTGAGAACCGCCTTGTGGGTGGCCCTTTCTGCAACTAATTCTTCTCCCTGCTTCTTCAGCTTTTCCTCAAAACCGCGCTCTAGTTCCGACCGCACCTCCTCCTTCAGTGTCACCCGCTCCTCATGGAGGCTCTTCTTTAGCTTGGCAATCTCTACGGTGTTCTCGTCCACGGTCTTAGACAGGCGGTCATTAAACATGATGATTTGCGAGAACCCGATTTGAGCCTGAAGAGCGAAACAGCAGGGTTAGCAACTGAGACATAACTTATCCAAGGAAGGGGCTAAATATACTCACCGAAAAGAAGAACTGAGAGGCTATTCCCGCCAGCCGCCGATTACACCCTTCTGAAGAAGAAGTGTATTCGGAAGGCATGACCAGGCGGTCACTGATGGTATGGAAAGCCAGCTCGGCGGCCTCAGTGTCGGTGGCTGCCAGGGGAGAGACTTCCACGGAGGACGTCTGATCAGACTTCTGAGCGGTCTTACCGCGGTGACCTCCCGCTTTCGCCGGAGATGCTCCCGCCTTTGCGCGCTTGGCGGCCGCAGCGGAAGCAGGCAGCTCTTGCGGTCTCTTTCCAGCAGCCCGCGTCACGGGGGCAGAAACAGCAACCTCTTCGACCACCACACTCGGTGTCACTGTGGGAGCCGCCGGAGAAACAACACGGTCAGCAACCGTGTCCGGTGAGGAAGCAGCTCCCGTCTTCACCTTCACCACCTTCTTCTTAGCCTTTGGGCGGTTGGCGGCCGCCAGATCCCGCAACCCTGCAAAAAGAAGGCATAAGTAAAACGACATGAGAAGGATGGACACATAAACAGTGAGGAAAATTTTTACTAACCATAAAAACCACGAACATGCTGGTACGCGCTCTCCGGGCCGCTATGCCGCACTCGCAATTGAAAACCCTCAACGATGCGGTTCACATGGTCCTTCACTGATTGGGGAAAGGGAGGGGACGCACACCACGCGTCCTTGGTTCCAACCGCATACCCCGTCGGCGGTTCCGAGTCCCCATCATACCACTTCCACGATGGTCGGGCAAAGAAAAACTCCCTGTACCAAGGTGAATCTAATTTGGGCGATCCCTTGATAAAACCAACGTGAGCCTCCCGCCTCCCAATCGACCAGCAGTTGGTCGAATCATGGATGTTATAAATCATCCGGAAGGCATCAAAGGACGGTTCTTCCCCGAGGCGGTCACACGCAAGCCGATACATCACCAAATGAAAAATGATGGTCGGAGAAAGGCGCCCCAAAGTGCAACCAAGCAAATGCAAGGTTTTGGTCAAAATAGGGTCGATGGGAAACCGTAAACCAAGCTTCACATGCTCCACATGGATAGGAATCCATCCCGTCGGACAGGACCCAGAGCGGCTCTCTTCAGAGGGCGCCGCATAATGCCAGTCAGAAGGGAGATTAAGCGACCTCAAACGGAAAAGCACTTGCTCAGGCTTAAAGACCGTCTTGTGCTTTGGACCAATAGCAAAAGCCTCAGCGGGAACCGGTTGACCGCCCCACATCCCATCATGTCGATATACCGTGTACACGGGGTCCCTTACGGCAATCGGAAGCGGTTCTGATCCCGCGGTCTCCACTATTTCCAATGAAGATGATGTACTTAGAAGTGCTTCAGAGCGCACATCATCACTGTCGACCGCCTCATCCTCATCCAACGATAAACTATCTAACTCTACCCGCCCAAAATCATCTATGTTATCCCCAACCGCGGATGAAGTGGCCATACCCCCAGCTGGTACAGGGCGGATGTTAGCAAAAGAATTATCTAAATCTAAATCGACTCCGACAAGACAATCGCGCAATTCAAAACCACTCCCAACGTATAATTCTAGCTCGGATAAATCCCACACGCACTCGGAAGCGGTTCGCGTGGGAGAAGAACGGGTCATACCTTGGGAAACAGAAGCGGCTCCTCCAGAGGGTCCCGCCTTCTTTCTCAACGAAGCGGTAGGAGACAAGGGAACCCTCGTAGCGGCCCGATCCTTCTCAGGGACCGCCCCGGAGGTGGCATGCAAAAGAGTCGCCTCGACGGTGGCGGCGGTGGCGTCGCTTCCTGCCGCGGCGGAGATGGTGCGATCGTCGCTCGACATCTTCAAGCACCACCGGAACAGACACCAGACCCGCCGCCAAGATTCGAGCCAACAAGTCGAGCGCCCCGAAAGAGGAGCGAACGCACGAAAACCAAGACAGAGCGATCAAAATCAGAAAAAATAGGAAGAACGAACAGAAAGAAAGAACACATACAAGTCGCGGAACTCACCTGGGCGCGACCGAAGTTTATAAAGCTCAGAGAAAGGGCGAGCTCCAACTCTGTCGAAGAGGAAGAAGGGAAGGAGACGAAGAGTTTCCGAAAGAGGAAGCAAAAATGGCGGAAAAAGTTCTCCCATGGCCATTTAAATGAAAGACAGGGGTTACAAACCCAAGGATGACGTTTCTCCTCCCCCGCGTCAGTGCACCACAATCGAGGCGCGACACGTGTCCCACGCCCGAACGCGGAAGAGAAGGACATGGTCTGGGGAACCGCCCCTCAGGCGCTCCGGCTTTACGCACGCACGCCAGGGGCAAGCGGGCGATCACGGGCTAGACGACCCACAACCGCCTAACGATACTAAGGCAGTCAATTAGCCGCGCGAGCCTAAAGTCTCTCACGCCTAAGGGGCAAATGTTAGGGCAATCGTTAAGGCCTTTGGGCCCCCAAGCCCATAATCGCCAAAAGGCCCATCAAAGTCAATAAACTCAACCTGAGGTACCAAGAGGCAGTCTAACCCTCGAGCATGAGAAGACCGCCCGACATTAAGAGGAGTATGAGCAGGACGCCCGACAGCAGGTATGTACCAACGACCTGACAATAGAGTACGGATACTGGCAAGAGGGCAGAACTGATCATGCATTTATGAGAAGTCAGAGGCGTCCAAGGGCCGCCCGACAGAAGGTAAAGCCGCCCGACACGACGAGACTTGTCCTCACTCATCAGACTCGTTAGTATAAATACCCACCAACGGATCACATTTATGGTAACTCTATCTACCCCATTCTCTCTCTATTTCACTCTACCTACTTCTCTCACTAACTTAGACATCGGAGGAGGTCCCAGGGCTCCCCTGAGGACCTTTCTTGCAGGACTTCGAAGCTCGCCTCTCATCCTCCCAAGACCGCACGGAGTCAGTGAGCTTCACAAACCGCCTGGTACTTTCCAGGCATAAACAATCATCATTAAAAATAAATAAATACCCAGCACAAACAAAGTGTAAATTTAACTAAATAATATATTTTATCTTACGTTGTTGAGTAAAATATAAAGAATCACATATCTTGACTCTTGATCAGTAAGAAAATGATATCTAAATTTTAAATTGACCAGAATTTGGAACATGATACAACAATCGACGGTCATGATTTTTAAAAATAAATGCAACAAATTACATGCACAATTTTAGGGGGTGTTAAAGTCTATAATTTAGAATTAAGATTTAGAGTTCACTCATCGAGAATTATGATATAATATAATGCCTCGAAATCTGATTAATTCGATATTTAAATAGTATTTTCTTATTAAAGATATGTCGTATACGTTTTACTCAATCGTATCGTAGGATAGAAATCACCATATATATATATATATATATATAAATAATTTTTTGTTGGACTCACGGTAAGCGCCCTTTTGTAAGGAGTTCCAGGAACGGTGGTGGGAAACGAATTGTAGCCTTTTTCGACGATGCCGTAATTCCTTTTTAACTCCACTCTGTAATGCTCTTCCAGGTGTCCGAAAATCGCCAGGATCCCGACTTCAAACGACAACTGAAAAATAACAATGCAATGGGGTAAAAAAAAAAATCTTTACCGACGTACAAAACAAAGTTACCGATCCGTCCGTCAGTAAAAAAAAAACAACAAAAACCTTTTTGAGCTCTTCGAAGGTGTTGATGACGTGTCCGCCGTCCCATTTCTCGAGGGCGGAGGCGGCCAGGGAGGAGACGTCGTTGGCCAAGCTGCGGGTGGCGTCGAGGGAGAGGGCGCGCTGGACGAGCTTGCGGAGGCGGAGGTGGTAATCGCCTCGCCCTGGTGGAAGAACAGGGCGGCAGGCCCAATAAGCCGCTCCTTGGACTTGGGGTACGTGGGCCGGAAGAGGTGGGCCTGGGTGACGAGGACGAAGCGGGCGGCCTCCGGGCTGGCGAGCATGACGCAGGGGCAGCCCAGGATGTGCGTTTTGAAGATCTCGCCGTGCCGTTTTTGCTTGCTGGAGAAGAAGGAGGTGGGGTCCTGGGAGTAGAGCTCGAGCGTCTCGCCGATGATGGGCCAGCCCATGGAGCCCGGCGGGAGGTTGGGCCGTCGGCGGGAGACGGGCCTGCGTCTGACGAGTTTGAGGAATAGGTGGTAGGTGAAGAGAGTTGGAAGGAAGGTGGGTGCGATGTAGAGAATAGGGATGGCAATGGGGCGGGTTTGGGGCGGGTTTGCCTAAACCATCCCCATCCCCATATTCAAATACCCAAACCCATACCCGCCCCATACCCATGCGGGGAATGTTTTGCAAACCCATCCCCATACCCGTGGGTTTCGGGTACCCATGGGTAATACCCATCCCCGTACATCCAACATTATTATACCTAAAACTTACAAGAAAAGTTTTAATTATAACCATAAACAAATTAAACCTATTATATCACGAAGTCAACAAAACACGGTCATTTTCTAAATACGATTCAAAGAATATGATCCTAAAACATCCATTAATACATAATATAGACTATAATATTTTTTAAATTATTATGCTCTAACTCTTGATACATTTACTAAGTAATAATTAACTAACATAATTTTGTTGACAAGGGGGAAAGTGAAAGAGTGGAAGGAGAATTGAGGGAAATGAAGTAGGTTTTGATTAAGGTGGTTACTCAATTGCATTTCTACTATTTATTTTCTCGAGTTATCATCATCATCATTGATAGATTACAATTTAATCCACGTATTTTTTGATATGTGAAGAAATTCTCTTGGTGGGGCGGGTATGGGTATGGGTATGGGGCGGGAGAGGCTAAAACCATACCCGCCCCATACCCATCAAAACTTTTGCGGGTTTTACCCATACCCGCCCCATACCCGGTCAAAGCGGGGATTCCCCGCGTTGACTGGGTATGGGGCGGTCGGGTACCCGCGGTCATGGGTTTGATTGCCATCCCTAGTAGAGAATGAACGCTCCATTGGCCATGTCTCGGTGTTGGGGTAAAACGCTGGAACTTTGGAGGCGAAACGGCAGAGACTTTGTTTTTCTGTGTGTGTGTGTTGATTGTGGTCGCTGCGAGGGAAATGGGAAGGGCGTCCTGGGGTTATAATTTATATAGGGAGGGGGAGGGGGAGAGTGAGGGGATGAAGACAAAGGACGAAAATGATACATGTAAAGCAAGCAATATAATGGTCCCTCAATTTTTGTGATTGGTGGATAAGGGGAAAATATAAAGGAAAATAATAAGTGAATTTCAGATATGGAGGTCCTACTAGATGCTACAATATTTTTGGCCACATTTTTAGGACAAAAATGTTTGTTTGAGTTTCACTATGGATAAAAAGAAGGAAAATGAAATTACCACTGACCACATTGTTAGGGAATATTCCTAGTTGATTAGCCAAATGGAAAGTTCAAGTTGGTTAAATTGGGTTGTATGGTAGTCGAACTAAACTAAGAGGTACCACATATACTTAGTAAGAAAATGAGATTTTTAACTCTTCAATTAACCGAATTTGGGACTATTTCTTCAAAAACGTCACATCATAAAACTAAGATGATGCATCAAATATGTTAAATGTATTTGGATGAATCAGATTTTTCGATTATTGTTCATTATTTGATTCGTTGTCTTTAATTTCCCATAAAATTTTATTAATAGTATTTATCCTTTATGTAATCTATGGTGCATCTCTTGTAAACATATGAACTATCAACAAGCCAATGATAAGCTATTAACCTATTAGCTCATAATTAAGTTGCTAGTTGAGGTGGCTCGCTAGTCATACTGTCGAGCCAGCTCATACCTCAAAACGAGCTAGCTCACGAGTTGAACTCAATAAGTCGCCGATTCGAACTGGCTCACAAGTGTTGCAAGTCAAACAAGATTTTTAGCTCAACCTCGCCTCGTTAGTAAACAAGTTTAGTGTCAAACGAGTTTGTCGTCACGAGCCGAACGACGAGACGGTTGTGAGCAGTTTTGCTCATTTGCAGCCCTATATAGTTTTGCTACTGCAGATAACACCTTGCATCTTAGATAATTGAGAGAAAAATAAAAAGGGTACGTAAAACCTTATTAATATAGTATCCACTACTTCAGAATTTGGCATATGTTTGGTACATGCATTACCAATGAACTAGCTTTATACCCGCCCGTTGGGCGGCAAATTTTGATTGGTTATTATATTTTTCGTCCTAGTATTATAATTTTATTTATAATTCATTATGTTAAACTATTATACATTGAATTGTTAATCTCACTTACCAAATTTCATATATTGTTTCACACTTTTATATCTTTCATTTATTTATGAAAATTTAATTTTATTAAATGAGCTCTCTATAGTACTTTCTTTATTGATTTATAATTGTGTATCGAATCCATCATTTAACATATAAACTAAGAGATTATTAATTTATTAGCACACAAAGTGACAAAGAAGTTAAAATTTTGAAGGACACAAAAGAAGAAGTTAAAATTTGCAAATATATTTCAATTAATAAAAAAAAAGTGAAGAGCTTTCATTTTCTCACCCTTCTCGTACGTTGGTATACGATAATAGAGAATATCGCGATCTAGATCCCACAAATATCGTGCAGGTGCAGTTACTTGTGTAATTTTGGAAGAATGAGATAGATTACTGCCAAAAGGGTCATGTTTTTTTACCTAATAACAACATAGATGAATAGTAAAAGTTGTATACTTCAATAAAACTCAAGTCATTACATCTTGCAGAGTCCCCATTGTGAATCGGATTGATGCATCAATCCAAATAGTAGTTGTTATGAAAACAATCAGGCCAAAATCAAGCTTTAGTTAGGGATTTAATTAGGCAAAATTCACGCTAAGAAGACAAACCAATGTCATTACAAACATCTAGAAATTGGGGAAAACATTGACATTTACTATCATTTTATTTCTTCTTCGCGCCCTTTATAAAACTCCAAATATGTTCCCTCCTACTTATAACCCCCTGCTACATATTATTTACTTGATCAGATCATCGTCATATAGCTAGCTAGTAGCATGTCACTCATGAACATAATAAACATAATGAACAACCCTCACAACTCTGCTTTCCATTTTAACATCCAAGGAATCGAGTTGCAATAGGACTTCAAGGAAAATGATCAATTATTCAACCAAAGGAGAGATGCTCCAAGTCCAAGCAACAAACCCTTTAAATTATATGTTACATGTTTACATCAAAGTATATAGGATAACAGAGAATCGTAAAACAACTACCAGAATAACGAAGAAGAAATACAACCATTGAATCAAAAAGGGAAATTTACTATCCAGTCGCCGTAATTTGGAAGAAATTAAGAAAAGAATGGGAAGAAAACTATAACTCGGCCAGTCAACCGCTAGCAGTCAGATATCTCTGAGGAAGAAAGATCAATTTCCCGCTGCGGATCAAAAGGGAAGAGGGAGAAATGATAGGCTGGACTTTTCTTCGGCAATAGGCAAAAATATGTTAGAGTTGTTCAATTCTTTTCCAACAAATCATTGTATCATGTAACTCCCGCCTCCTATTCTCATACAAAGAGGGGGGAAAACTCAATACGCATTACCATTTCCTTTCCTATATCTATATACAAAAACATAAAGAATACAAATTCTAGAAACTCAAAATTTAAGCAAATAAGAAAAGAGCTTTATTTGTTTTTGTGGGGCTTGATCTAGTTTCTTTATTATCAATGTTGTGTTTTATTTTCAATGTTGTATGGGAAAAGGAATAGGAACAAATCAAAATGTTGGCATTCATTTTTATTAACTTAATTTACTTTTTATTGATAATGATGACAATTTAAAGAGTAAGCAAAAAAGCACACCAATTAGACCTTGTCCAACGTGAAAGGGTGAGAGCTAGCTATGTACTGATGTGGCACTAAATTAGTTTTAGATTCCTACAATATTAAGTAATGATTATTTATGATTTCTTGGAAATTTTTTTCTAAAATGTAATAACTCGTAGAAATATTGTGACATTTTACATACATTTGAATTCTTGAATGTATTGTAGACATATCTATTAATATCTAAGAATATGTATAACGATTTTATTTTAATTTTTAATCCTAATTAATACCTTTGAACTCGGCTCATCGACTGAAATATGAAAACGAAATGTTGTGGCTAGGATAACTCGATCTAAATACAAATGGCTTACTGTTACAAACCAAAAATTTCCATTTTGAGACTTCGATATTGAAAAAGTTTTTGTTATTGCCAAAATTTGGTATGGAGTCACAGACTCACAACCATATAGCTGGGGTCGTTTGCTTGATGAATTTGGAGCTATCATGAACTTTGTCCAACCATTGCTTGCTTCATGTATTTAGAGGCCACCAATATGTGGGTCTCATGTATTTTAAGGTTTCAAATTCATGGGCCTCATGGACTTGATAATTTCACCTCTTTAGATGGAAATTGATCATGGACTTTGAAGTCTATTATTTATGACCAACCTACCCCTCATATTTCATTTCCCTTCTCATACCAATGAGGGTAATATATGTCATTTTCACTTCCAACATACAAAATCAATTAACCAAATGCATCATGAAATCTATGAAACGAAATATGGCATTTTCAAATCCATAATGAACCAAAAACCCTCATATATCCATGCTTTTACAAAATCCAAGTTTTCTTAAAACCTTCAGTTTTCAAATCCACGAAGCAAACGACCCCAATGTTTTCTTACAATTGTCTTACTAAACTCATCCTTATTAAAGATTCTTTATTTTAACACAATACCTCAATTTAGATTCTTGTAGCTACAAAAAAAAATTTTGTTTAGATATCTCAACTAACACACTTATGTTTATTTATTGCATCAATCCTCGAATCTAGATTTGTCTACCAAGACATCAACTATTAAATAAATTTTTTCAACCCTTATTTGATCAATGCTAAGGTTAGTGGTTGATGAAACGTGATGTTTATCGTATATCCTCAACGAAGATTTTCTTAACCTTCACACGTGTTGTTTTTTAAGTGATGTTGTGTCTCATCCTAGGTATAAAGTCAAAACTCGTCAAAAATCATACTTAAGTCATTTTGAAAACTTTTATGTAA